TCTCTTCACAGAGTTAAATCTCAAAAAGGAATCCTACAAAAACTGGAAACTTGGTCATAAAACTAGGGAAGAGTATAAGAGTTTTGTACATGTGCCCAGGAAAAAAAATAAGAAAGGCCACAGCATGATTTAAGATGCAACTGGCAGAGAACATACAAGGCAATAAAAAGGGACTCTACAAGTACGACAAAAGTAAAAGGAAGACCAAAGAAACCATAGGTCCCTTATGAAATTCAGAAGACTATCTAGTTAAGAAGGCTGAAGTATTAATGCTTTTTTTATTTTAGTCTTCACATATAGAGTTGACAGCAAAGATAGGGAAGGAGTCAAACCACCTAAAGTAGTGGCAGAATAGGTTAGGGGTTACTTAGAGAAGCTAGATGCTTTCACATCAGTGGGGCTAGATGGGATGCACTCTAGGGTACTGAAGGAATTGGCTGAGCCATTAGCTATCCTTTCTGAGAACTCATGGAGCTTGGGTGAAGGCCATCCTGAAAGAGAAAACATAGTGTCCTTCCCATCTTTAAGAAAGGGAAGAAGGAGGATATGGGGAATTACAGACCAGTCAGTCTGACCTTGATACCTGAAAAGAAAATGAAGCAAGTCCTCAAGAAGCACCTGGAGGGAAATAAGTTGATCAGGAACAGCCAGCATGGATTCACCAAGAGCAAGTCATGTCTGATCAAACTTATTTCCTTCTACATAGGGAGACAAGTTCTGTGGATGGAGTGAGATCAGTGGATGTGATATACTGACTTCAGCAAGGCTTTGGACACTCTTCCCCACAACTTTCTCATTAACAAGCTAAGGAAATCCAGATTAGCTGAAAGTTCTTTAAGTTCTATACATAACTGGTTGGATCATTGAGCTTAAAAAGTAGTCATCAATAGCTCAATAGGTAGCTGAGAGGAGGTATCAAGTGGGGTTTTCCAGAGGTCTTTTCTGGGTCTGGTATTGTTTAATATCCTCATTAACGATTTGGAAAATTTGTGGATGGCACCAAATAAGCTGGAGTTGCAGACACTCTAGAGGGTATTGGAATGATCTGGATAGACTGGAAAATTAGTCAGATGAAATTCAGTAAGGACAAGAATAAGTACATAGTTCTGCACTTGGGATGGCATAATTTTATGCACAAATACAGACATGAGTGACTGGTGCTTCCTGAATCTGGGGGGACACCCACAGAAGTCACTGACAGCAGTGGCCCTGTCAGGGGGGCACCAGCCCTGCTGACAGCATCAGTGTCGGCCATCAGAGGGGGCACTGGCCCCATCGGGGGGGCACGTGCACCCCCGTACACCCCATACCAGTTGCCTATGAATACCAATGGGGGAATGACTGGCTGGGCTGCAGTATTGTGGAAAATGACATGGAAGTTTCAGTGGAATACAAACTGAATATGAGCCAACAAATTCTTCTTGTTGCAAAAAAATACAATCCAATATGCTGTTGGCTAACAGGGGTATCACTTGCAAATCAAGGTCAGTGATTCTTCTGCTGTATTCAACACTGATGCATAATGTATCAAGTTTTGGGCCTCACCCTTCAAGAAGGATGTGGACAGATGAGAAAGAGTCCAGTGGAGAGTGTTTAGAGACCTGGGACACACAAGTTTTGAGGAAAGGCAGAGGCTGATTTAGTCTGGAGAAGCAAAGAGCAAGGTTGGGGGGGAAGGTTGACAACAGCCTTCAAATACCTGAAGGGCAATTAGGCAGACAAGATTCTTTGGGTAAATCTGATATCTTTTAGACCAACTCAAATAGCTGGAAAAAATCTTCTTTGCAAGCTGTCAGGTACAAATACCCTTTGTCAGGCTGAGAAAGCATCTGCATTTGGTGTATGCTCTTCCCGGATGGAATGAATACTAAAGAAGCCAGAGGCTGGTATGCAATTATAGAAAGGAAAGGCTGAAGGATCTAGGGCTATTTAGTCTGGAGAAGACTGAGGGAGGATTTTATAACAGTCTTAGTCTTCAGATAACTGAAGGGTGATTATAGAGAGGATGGAGATGGGCTTTTCTTTGTGGTCACTGAGCACAAGACTAGAAGAAATGTTCATAAGCTTCAGCAGAGGAAATTGAAATTTGAGGTTAGGAGCTTTCTGACTCCGAGGGTGGCCAGGCATAGGACCAGGCTCCCTAGAAAAGTTAAGGAATCTCCATCCCTGGAAATTTTCAAGTTCAGGCTAGACAGATGCTTGGTTGGGATGGGTTAGTCAGGGACAAACCCATCTTAAGCAGGAGACTAGACTAGATGGCCTTCCAGCACTACTTTCCTATTATCCTATTTTTTCAAGAGAAGATTATGCAATTAAAAAGAAACAGAAAAGGAAATCAACTATCTGATCTGAGGGACGTAGCATTGAGTGATGTGGCCATAGCTCCACTGACGTCAGTGTTGGTAAGAAATTACAACCAGATAATTTAACATAAGGAAGGCGGCAAATACTTTTAACAGTGCAGGTTATTAATTATTGGAACAAACTACCAAGGGAGACAGTATATTCCCCACTTCTTGATGCCTTCAGATCAAGTCTAGAGGCTTTTCTCCAATATATGCTTTTGTCAACTACAAGATATTGGGTCCAGTGGCCTGTATTATCTAGGATGTTAAACTAGACAACTTAATGGTCCTCTCTACATAGCTAGGAACGAAGCTATAATGAATTAATATCAGATGATTATCTTTTCTATTTTCTAAAGCTAAAGCAGGAGCCAGATATTTTAGAGATTAACAGGAACAGGACTTCATTTTTAGGTCCTAGGTATGATAAAACTTCTCTTTTTTTTAACTTAAAAGAACTTAGGCATACCATTTTATTATTTTTAACACTATTCTCTTTGGAAGCACTTTTCTTCTGCAGTCTTTTCAATGACACTTTTTAAAGCCAGTTATTTTATCTATAAGGCACTTACTGTGAAATAATAATGATAGTAATATAAAAACAGCTAACATTTACTGTGACCCTCAGAGAGTCAGTCACACACTTCAAAACGTTCCTATAATTGCAGCAATCAGTTAAAATAAATCCAATAGATATTAAGAATCTAGAAGACAAAGACAACTCTTTCTATTGTTGTAGATTTGCAATGGTTTATTAATCCACCTTCATTGACTGGTATATTGGATCCAGTTGATCTATTAATCTGTAATAAACAGTGTTTAAAAAGAGCATGAAAGGAATAACCAACTAAAACCATTCAGAGATCAATGCCCAAAATGCTGACTTTTCAGAAGCGTGTAGTAAAAATGTGTTTGTCTATGTTTCCTTTCTCAAAATATCAGTACTAAGGACTGTCAAACATTTTAAATCAAAAGTGGCTTGGGCAAAAAAATAGGGTTTCAATTAAATCATATTTTTTTGGGAAAGCATATCTACTTTGTGTTAATATTTTTTACTCTTCATCAAAAAGCAAACAAAACAAAACAAAACCCCAAATACCTGAAAACTAAAATATTTCATCCAAAAAATATATATATATTTGTTTTATATATATAATTATTTGTTTTGTTCTTCTGTGTGGCGCCACAAACCGCACGCATTCCACATTAAACCATGCGTGGTGCTGTTAATTTGCAGTGCCGAGGCAAAATTTGGTACTGGGATTTCCCAGTAGTACAATAAAACCCAGAAGAAAAAAGCAACACAAAGCACACCAAAGTGGCACGCACCAAGACAAACACAGACACAAGGGAGAAGGCAGCCCAAGGCTGACTGCTTCCACGTCTCCGTGCACTGTGGAGCTTCTGCGTTCAGGCACCCTGTGCCCCAGCCAGTCACTCCCCATCTGGCTGGGGTTCAGTGTGCCTCAACATGGGGGTGCAGGCAGCCCTAGGCTGCCTGCTTCCCCATCTTGAGGCATACTGTGCCGCAGCCAGCTGCTCTGTGGTAGCCCCCATACTGAGGCACATGAAGACAGGGGAGCTGGCAGCCCAGGATTGGCTTCTTCCCTGTCCTGAGGCATACTATGCCCCAGCCAGCCAGGGGTTGGATGGTACAGAAAACAACCTTCATTTCCTGAGCAGGTCTAGCAAGTACATTTTTCCACATGTAATTCAGACAATGTATAACGCATCACTAGAGGGAAACGGGCAAAAGGGACTATCTACCAGTACCAAATGGTTTTTGTTACATAGTTCTGGTTAAGTCATCTGTCCTGAAAACTATTTCCACTACCATAAGTTATGATTTGCCTTTGAAAACAAGAAATCTACATTATAGGAAAAATAATATAACCAGAAACACAGAGTAATAGTGAAAGAACATGAGAGAGAGAGAGAGAGAGAGAGAGAGAGAGAGAGAGACAGGACCCATAAAGATGCCACTTCAAAGTACAGAAGTACACTGAAGTACAAAGTTGCACACACATACATGTCAGAATATTCTTATTTCATATTGTGCATGGATATGGATTAAAGACTAGACATTCTGTAACAACAGGATTCTTGGCACTAAGCACGTGCAATAAAAACTTACGTATCAGTGTCCCATTCATTCCCAGTTTAGACCAGATGTCCTTACTTCCACATCCCCATAACGAATCCATCAAGTCAACAAGTCTGAAGACTAGTTGGGCAGGGAAAAACAGAACCACTGCAGTGGAGTTGGGAATAGGCAGGAGAAGATATATGTTTTTTGTCACCTCACTAGTCTGTGGTGTCAGACCCAAAAGAAGTATTAGAGGCTGAGTAGGGAAAAGCAGCAATGTGTGACGGCAAAAGTGGCATGGTCCATCAGCAGGCCTATATTAGGATAACAGCATTTTGGCAGCAGGAGGTGGGGATCATAAATTAACAGGTCTCTCTGTAATGACTGAGAAATTTCAACAAAGTTAATATTCAGGAAAGACTCATTTTGACATTTAGAAACATCTGATTTACACTGCAACTTCTCATAAATGCGAAGAAAATTCTCTTGCATCACTGGGTGAATTCTACTTGACCAAATATACTTCTATGTACTAGTGGCTAGCTGGGAACACAGAGCAATAAGGTTACCTTAATAGGGCTCCCATCTGGAGTAAGAACCTCTTCTGAAAGTTCCATCATCTTCAGAGCCATCAGGGCAATGGCTTTAGCATGGCTAAGGCTCTTTTTATGAAGCCCTGCTGCAACACAGTACGCATCACCTATTGTTTCCACCTGCAGCAATCAGACAAATCAAATGTAAAAGTATGATAATGAACAGAAATCTGTACCATTAGTTATCTGCAATCAAAAAATGTTGCTTAAAAACATGTCAGCAAAACATCCATAAAATAAGCAATTAGAAAATGGAGTATAATTATGCGAGTTTGTAAACAGGCACAGTCAAAACCTGACATCTCATTGCATAGTTGTTCATCATCATTATAACTGGAGAAGATCATTAAATCTAGGACAGTGTACATTACCAAACTGAAAATGATAACATTATCCCACAGGAGAATAGGATTTTCTCTATTAGAACTAGACCAGAAACTATTTACAGCTAAGAACTGGTGCCACCGTATGTCATTCTGTTGTGTAGTGAGAGCTGTGCTAAACATTTATGATCCATAATAATTATCTTCTCTATTATAAAAGTACATTAGGATGAGAGTTACAGGAGGATAAATGTTTCCATAAAAATGCATAGTTCATCATGCCTCATTAGTATCTCACTTATCTTTAGCCTGGGAAAATTCAAGATGGAACATCGCATTGCTTAGGTTTTAATTTTTGTTTCAGACACTCTTATAGACTGCTGGCTCTTGCCTGCCTTTCTTTCTGAGATCCTAAGAAGATATGGAAGGAACAGAAGCAGTCCAGCTGAAACTTCTCCGGTGTTTTAACAGGAAATTCAGGCTGTCTCTACTGCACAAGCTACCTGAGCATAAGCACCTCAGAGCAATAAGTGCGGCAGACTGCTTCCTCTGCTCCCTTCCAATCATTTATGCTTGCTTTTCTTCATAGGCTAGTTACAGATGTTACATATAATCCAGACTAAGTGCCAAGAAATCCAAGCAAACCCATAACTATGTCCACGGCACATAGACAGGACTAAAAATGGAACCTGGAATAGAATCATAGGATCACAGAAATTATGGGCTGGAAGGGACCTTGAAAGATCATCTAGTCCAGGGGTGGGCAAAATGCAGCCCACCAGGCCATTCTATCTGGCCTGTGGGGCCCATAAAAAATTTAGAAAATTAATATTTATCTGCCCCTGGCTGCCTGCCATGTGGCCCTCAATGGCTTGCCAAAACTCAGTAAGCAGCCCTCCACCCAAAATAATTGCTCACCCCGATCTAATCCAACCCCTCCTGCTCTGGGCATGAATACTGCTGAGGTTAACTGATCCCAGCAGGGTGTCTGTCCAGTCTCCTCTTGAAGACTTCCAAGGGTGGAGACTACACCACCTCCTTGAGAAGTCTATTCCAGATTCTGGTCACCCTTATGGTAAAGCAGTTTTTCCTTCCATCCAAGCTGAAACCATCCTCTAACAGTGTATGGCCATTGCTCCTTGTCCTCCCCTGGGGTGCCCTAGTGAACAGTTTTTCTGCCAGCTCCCCATATTCACCCCTTACATACTTATAAATAGCCACCAGGTCCCCCCATCAGTCTTCTCTTCCCCAGACTGGACAGTCCCACATCCCTTAGTCTTTTCCCATAAAGTTGTCCTCCAGGCCCTTAATCATTCGTATGGCCCTTCTCTGGACCCTTTCAAGATTCTCCACATCTTTTTTGAAGTGTGGCCCCCAGAACTGGACACAGTGCTCCAGCAGGGGCCTCACCAGTGCTGAGTAGAGAGAAAGCATCACTTCCTTAGCCCTGTTCATGATGCATCAGCTAATCCCAGTATGCTATTAGCTCTGTTGACTACAGCACTGCACTGGTGGCTCATCTTCATCCTGTAATCAACCATAACCCCGAGGTCCCTTTCAGCTATTGTGCTGGCCAAGACATTTCCTAACCCATATTCATGTTGCTGGTTACTTCTCCCCAGTCCTGAATCTATGTGTATTCAAATGTATGTGAATAAGGTTAGTCCCGTGCAATGAACTTCTGTATTACATCCCTTATCGAATCAAGTCAGGTCACAGTCCGCTGGCATCCCAGGCTTATTCGCAGGAACCCACTCGCCCTGCACTTCACTGCTTCAGCTAAGCATCTAGCTCGCCCTGTCCCCAGGCTATTCCAGAGCTGAGTCAGCAAAGCCTCTGTTCCCAGTCCCATCTCTTGTCTTCAGCCAGCTGTCAGCGCCAGGCAAGAGAGAGGTGGGGGCAAGTGGGACTTTCAAGCTGCCAGGGGAGGCAGTGCCAGTGATGCATCTTGCATTCCCAGCCCAGTTCCTTCCCAGCCAGGAGACCAGTGCACTAGATCAGTTTTGGGAAGGCCTCATAGGATTTACACCCCTAGAGCCAGCACCGGGTTCCCAGCTGAAGCCCTTTCCTCTGCAGCCATGGGGCTCTGGTCCCTGTTGAAGGAGAAGAGGTGGGGGCATCCATGGTCATTTCCAGTGTGGGAGCTGAGCAAGCCCCCACCTCAAGTGTCAACTCCTTCTGGCTGGGCTGGCTCAGCTTAGATGGGTCCATTTCTAGCATTGTCTCATCAGCAGCCTCACCAGCTCCCCTTCTTCAACCTTGGAATCAATGGAACAAGAGACAAAGCCCCAGCTGGAGCCAGGTGAGTGCTGCTCCCCGCCAGCCACAGGTTCTGGGCAACTGTTTTCCCCCTCCTGCTCTGCTCCTGGAGATCCTATGATGCATCTTGTAGATTCATAGATGTTATGGTCAGAAGGGACCTCGATAGATCATCAAGTCTGACCTCCTGCATAGGCAGGAAAGAGT